ATATATATATATATATATATATATATATATATATATATATATATATATATATATATATATATATGGCAATATGAAAGCATACCTTTGAGTTGGGGCCTCAGGTGCATTAACTGCTCTGCTACGGCCTTGGCCTGTTCCTTCCCGATGGAGCCCATGTTGTAATTCCACGCGCTCGATCCCGTACCTGTACGTACACCCCAACATTATTCCGCAGCATAATACACCGCTGTATATATATATATATATATATACTGTACGCCTTGACACGATAATACGCCTCCAAATTACACCCCAGCCCAGANTATATATATATATATATATACTGTACGCCTTGACACGATAATACGCCTCCAAATTACACCCCAGCCCAGAGTGGCTCAGCTTGAGAAGCCGCCGCCTCTTCTCTTCTGCATAAAGGCAAATGCCTGCTGCTGTCTGCATCCGTGCAGCAGCAACATGTGTTGTGGCTGCTGCTTCTGCTGCTACTGCTGCGGGTCATGCTTGCCTGTGGAGATGAGCACGCCGGAGCTCTTGTGTCTCCTTGTCTCTCCGTCCACCCAAACATCAGCATAAAGAGTCTTTGCTACATTTGCATCCGAGACAAAAACATCATTAACAGATAAAAGTGGCAGACACAGCTTCATTGTCTCTTCTTTGACCGCTTCATCTCCTTCTCCTCGTCCCTGCGCTTTTGCTGCATCGAACGTGAGACCCTCAAAACAGGGGCCCCAACCCTGGGCCCCACCCCCCCATCCTGCTGCTGCAGAGGGGGGTCCCTTGCTATCTGTACCGCCTGCAGAGTAGGGCACCCCCTCCTGTTTCAAGGGGAGCCCCCCGTGGGGACCCGCTTGGGGGCCCCCCTGGGACCCTGTTAGGGGGGCCCCTCCCACAGAGTGTTTCTCCCTCTGAGATTCAATATGCAGCAGCTCTGCAGCAACTTGACTCATGTTGGCCCCAACCGTCTGAGGGCCCACCCGCTCGCTGCTGTGCATACTCCCTGTTCCACTACTACTACCACAACCACTCCCCGTGCTGCTGCTGCTGCTGCTGCTGTTGCCGGTTGCTGCTGCAGACCCGTCGGGAGCAACAGCAGCTAGGCGCTGCATGACCTGTTGCTGCATGCACAGCGGGAAAGACAAAGTCAGGCGAATGCGCTGGCGAGACACCAGACGGGCCCCCCCTTGTAGCAGGTGCTGCAGCGTGCGGCGTACGTACACCTCCACATCCGCTGCATCGTCGCACTCCTTAACAAACTCTACAGCCTCACCTGCTGGGTGATCCCCAGGGCCCCCCACTGCAGCGACGGCCCCCGATACCTTGCCCTTGTCACCGGCAGAAGCTGGGGGCCCCGGAACGCGGGGGGTTTGAAACATAAGCGGGGCACCAACAGCAACCGACTGCTGCTGCTGCTGTTGTTGCTGCTGCTGCTGCGATTCATGCTCCTGCTTCTGTTGCTGCTGCGGTTGCTGTTCTTGTTGCACTTCGAGCTGTTGCTGCTGCTGCCGCTGCTGCTGCTGCTGCTGCTGCTGCTGCTGCATGCGTTTGGGGGGCTTCACGCAGAGCCTGCCTTCCGAGCGGGAGGGGTCAGTGTTAAAGCCAAATAGCCAGGGCCCGGAGGGGCCACCTGGGATGTAACCGGGGATTATTGAGGCCGCCTCCAGATACGTACCGTCACCTCCTGCAACAATAAACCCTAGACCCTAAACCCTCGGTTATCAGCCTCAACAAGCCCTAAGCCCCAGACTAATCCCAGACGCCCCTAAGTATCAGACCCAGACCCCGAACCCTGGGGTAGAACCCCCCAGCTCTAAGACCTAAACTGTAAGCCTACGCTGCAACCCTAAACCCTAGACTCTAAACCTGTACCTGCTGAGATGATGGCATCAGGAGGCAAGGCGACGGCTCCTTTGCGGGTGAGACGAAGGCCCTGGACAGTTCTGGCCTTGATTAGCGTCACGTGGAGTCCGTATTCCTCTCTCAGCTGTCTGTACAGCTCCGCTGCTGCTTTCTGATGCAGCAGATGCGTGCGATAGGCCGTGGGGAAGTCGCGGGCCAGTGTTGCTGCTGCTGCTGCTTCAGCTGCTGCTGCTGCCGCTTCGTACGCACGGCTGCCAGGCGTGTACAAAGCCGCATCAGTATCCCCTACACCCTTCTCTCCTGGTTTTGCTGCAGCTCGTGCTGCTGCTGCAGCTGCCGGTCCTTTTGCTTCTGCTTCCACGCTGCTGGTGCTGCCACTCCTGCTGCTGCTGCTGCTTTTGCTGTGGGAGAGGTGCTGCCGCCTCCAGGCAGCCATTCTCTCAGCCAAGGATACCTCGAAACGCGTAATTTTGTTCAGCAAGACAACTCGACTCAAACGAACCGAAGGAGGACCCGAAGCCAAGGCATCCCATCCTTCCTGCTGGTGCTGCTGCTGCTGCTGCTGCTCCGGCTGCTGCTGCTGCTGCGGCTCAGTCTGCCCCTGCTCTTGCAACTTCTGCCGTTGTTGTTGCTTTTGTTCCTCCAGAGGAATGCTGTGCATGCACCTGTACATATGTGGGGTCGGGGGGCCTCCTGGGGCCCTCACGCGCAGTAGCTGCCGCTGCAGCAGCTGTTGCTGCTGCTGCTGCACCGGCAGCTGCCGCAGATGCAACCACGGGGATTTTGGCATGAGCACTAGGTAAAGAGGGACATGGGAGCCCCACAGACGGCCCGTCGCTGTCTGTGCAGTACCCTTTATGCTCCCGTCTTGGTGAGAGGGGCCCTCGGGGAGGTTTGCAGAAGACAGCAGCAGAGGGCCTCCCCTTCCCAGCGAGGCACTGTGAGGCTGAACGGAAGTGATGGGGAAATAAGGGTAAACGGAAGTGGTGATTTGATGCAGGTGCGGATTGAAGCCGCTGCTGCGGGGGCCCCCATCAGCAGCAAAGGCGGGGAAGGGGGGTCCCCCTGTCGAAAGCCCCCTCCTGAGCAGCATCATCCACTGTTTCGAGCCTGAGACGCCTCACCGGAAGGATCTGGGGGCCCCCTGAATCAGCTGCGGGGAGGGGGCCCCCAGAAGCTGCAGCGCGTAGGGGCCCCTATTGTGCACACGGTGGGCGGGGGGCCCCTGGGCTAGCTATATACAAGACTGTCAAAACCTACTAGTAGGAGCGGATCATCTACGGAAATCGTTTAGGGGCCCCCCAGATTCACAGAATGCAGCTGTAGGGGCCCCCGTTGAAAAGGTAATGGAGTAACAAAACCGGAAAGATGGCGATCCTACAGAAGTTTTGGGTTTAGGGCTTAGGGTTTGTCGGTAGTGACACGTTCTCTATAAGTGCAATGACGCGTATGTAATACTATTATTACATTGCAATAATGCAATACTAACGGTTAAGTATGTACAACGAACAACAGGCAAGCAGACAGCCCCGACGAAGAAGCCACAGCCTCAGCACACGACAGCGCCCTTGGGGCTGCTGTCACCGACGTGTTGCCACCGAGGCAGCAGCAGAGGTCAAACAGGCCGAGGAATATTTCTGTTATTCTTTGAAATGCGCTGTTTTGGGTTTAACGCACTGCGCCTTCGTATCGGGGGCTGCTCGTAAGTGTTGGAGAGCTCCTGTTCATGCACATGACTACAGTTTGGGTTCATTCTGATGTTTTACCCATTAAATATTATGTTACATTAAATAATTATATAATATATACGCGAGTGTAGGGGATTCATTGGTAGCCACTGATGCGCAGATCTCTCCAGGTGGTCGTCCTTGTGCTCGAGGTATATGACGAGAGCCCTTGGTCCTGTTCGATGACTGTAGAACAGTTAAGATATTTAAGATACGGTTTTGCATAAAGTATATGGCTTCTTCTCCCGTCCCCAAGTGGCCTGAACCCGTTGGCCCGACGGCCTGGGCCTTGCGGTGGGGAGGGGGCCTGACACGCGTTGCAACTCGCGCCAGTGCAACTAACGCTGCTAGGCAGCTCCGCATGCATGCACAACCAAGCAGCCTTATCTGCATGCACTGACACTATAGACAGCTGTTGGACACTTACTTGGCCCTCTATGGCCAGCCTGCACACAAGTAACGATTCACGAACTACAGACGGACACGGATACACCTGACCCCCTCTCCTAGAGAAGCAGACGTCTTCGTGTGCCAGTTTTCCCCACAGAGGGGATGGATCATGCGGCGGCAGGATGGGAGCTCACCTGCCATGAGAACATGGGTATGCCTGTTCAAGCAGCAGTAGGGGTGTATCAAACAACTGCCAGTGTAGAAGTATCCCCCAACAACTGACAGTGCGGGGGAGGTGTACCGAAACACCTGACAGACGGGAAGGGGGCGGCTGCGGAGGATCATTGCAACATGGAACAAACTGTATAGTACCACCTCAACTTATATTTGAGAGCCCTGCAGCTCCACCTGTGGCGCCGGCAGATGGATGACAATACCTAGTTGGCGTTCTTTCCCTAGCCTGACAGTATAATGTTTTGGTTGCCGCGTATCCGTTGAAATGTTTGACCTGCCGCTTGATTCGTAGTGACCGTGGTCGGAGCTGAGGTGTGGTGAAATTTACTGTTTTCGCTGGACGACAGTGCGCTCTAGCTTCTGTATTTTCAGATCCTGGCCTTAAACTCTAGACCCTGCGTTCTCAACTACTACCTAAGCCGTGACCAGGTAAAACCCTGATTAACCCATTCTGCTGCTGGTGGAGCTGCCGCAGTCTTTGCCTTTTTGAATGTAGATGGCTGAAAAGACCTCTCTTGACCATAAGCGTATGGCTGAGTTTACCTGTATCCATAACAGGCTCAAATGCCAATAGTAAGGCGGAGCTCGCTTATTATCTCAAGAGGTGAAGTAGGTGAGCATGGCTTCTACTCTGTTCTGCTCTACTCGGGAAGCGGCAGGAAATTGAGTTAGTAGACCTACGATGAAGTGCTATGGGTTGTATGACTCACAAAGATGACGATACCAACAAGCGGAAAGGGCTTCTTGCAGCCTGTGTCCAGCTGCTGCTGTGACGCTGTCTGCCTGAGCTCTACCGGACAAAAGCCTTCATGTTAAGGCGAGTTGATGAAAATGAAAATTGCGCGTGTGGGAAATGCTGTCATTGAAACTGCGGTGTATGGGTGGCGTAGGCGCCGCTAGGATGCAGTTACACATCGCTAGAAGAAAATGTTTCCCACAACGTCGAAAATGAATCGGACTGCTCTATACAACTGGGACACTGGAGCACAGCGTGCTCAGACGGAAAACTGCAACTGTCCACACAGCTGCTCTCGAAATACTCTACCACAAGGGTGATCTGTACAAGTGGAGGAGAAAGCGAAGAACGGCACAACTCTAATGCTACTGCGTGACGGGGGCTAGGTATGACACAGGGACGTCTCCCGCGCAAACACACAAACAAAGTACTGGAAGGCCGGCACAGTGGTCACAGGATGTATGCTGCTCCTCTGACACATCTGCCCGACCGGGATAGCTCCTTCATCTCTGGTTGTGTCGCTGAGGCAAGGAAGCGGCTCAGTGACAACCCCAGAGTAGCCTACCCCATGCTCTAAGGCCTTCATATCAAACTGCGGACAAGAATCATATTTTCTGTGAAAGAAACGGTATGAAACGGAGGCAGCTGTGTGGGAGTCAATGCTCACGTGAGCAAATGCGAAAGTGGAAACTTTTCGCATATCTGCATTTTCGGTGGCTTAGCCATTGTCTCGCATGCCTCATGAGCCGATGGCGCCCCAATTCTATGAACTATATTAAATGCTCTTCCCCATCCTGTTTTGAATGTTAGAGCCGTTATGTATCCTCTGCAAACTGTCACCACGATGGTCTTTGAAGATGCTGCTTGAAAAAGCTCCCTCAAACTTAGCCGCATCCCGGGTCGAAAAAAATAATTGCTGTAGACACGGAGCAGCTCAACATCCGATGCCCCAGAAAAGCCAAGATCAGAGCGATTCTTCATCTTCTCCTTCCTGCGAGCACATCTTCAAACGCAGCTCCAGAACAGCTGCTGCGCTGAAACAGCGAAGTGATACGATTGACCAAGCATACTCCGCTGTAGCTACACTCGCACATGCCATTGAGCTTCCTTTAATACCAACTCTTTCTGAAGCATTTTCGTGCCCAACAACTTTCAGAGGTGCGCCTTCAACCAAATGCGCAGCACCAGCGCTTCCCACTGTCCTGCTAGAGTGATACAACAGCTGAAAGTAGACTTTTCCGTCTAGCTCGAAGAAATGCATGTGATGCCAGGCCTCCTACCCACACTTAGGCACGCACCTGCTGAGAACACCAACATGCTGACAGTTATTGTTGCAGCCCTGTTTGCTATTAGAAGCACGTGGCCGCTTACCACAGTAAG